GAATAAGTAAAAGCCTATTTGGATCACGGGTGTGCTATGAAAGACCAGTGAGTGACCACAGCCTCATTGGAAATGGTGTCTAAAGGCACAAGTGCCTTGTGCTTAAATTATACTTGTGTTTATGAAATCCAATTCCTTCCATCACCAGAACAGCCAGGAACATCATTTTAGAGAAAGGCAAACAGGTGGGAAAAGGGAATCGGACCAATTCACTAAAAGTCAATTTAATGACAGACAGTTCAGTAATGGATCATTTGATGAATTGGCCATTTGTTGCACTGGCTTTCTAAGAATTGAGGTAGGCCTTGGAAAAATGTACATCTTATTAAAATGCAAATAATGTGCGTAGACACAGAAGATGAGGTGACGCTGTCAGATCCCCTGGAACTGGAGTTACAGACAGTTATCCGCCATGTGAGTGCTGGGAACTGAACCCAGGTCCTGTGCAAGAGCACCCAGTGCTCTTAACCACTGAGCCTAGCTCTAGCCCCAGTATGCTTTATTGACAGGGTTACAGGAAAAGGTATTTTCCAGATCATTAGCTGTGTACCAGTCCCCAGGGATGTTAATTTGCTCAAGTCATGGAACCATACCCATTATGGTGGCTACAAGCAGACATGTGACCTGGGTAAAAATACAGTAATCCACTGCCATTCACCAAGAGTCATTTTTCTTCTACTAAGATCAACTAGATAATTAAACATGACAGTGCGAATCACCACTCGAATAGGTTCTTCAACTCCTTGATGGTGACAGTCATCCCTGAAATCCAGTCCGCCTCCAGAATGGCACCTGGCTTTTGGTTTCCTGGTTTCCTGGATAGAGGTAGTTCTAATGGTTATGCTTGGCCATCTCCACAAGTGAGGGAACAAATACAGCAATTCTTCTAGTGTCTTAAATATTCATTCCAGTTATGCGTACCAGAACTGGGGGAATATTCACAAGATTTGTTGGAAATCCACTGGACCCAGCAGACCGACTGGTAATGAAGTTATAGCTCTCTATAAGCCCCTACTCTGGTGGACCAAAGTGATATTTTAGATAGCTGGAATTGGCACCAAATTAAAGATAGTGTTCAGTAATCCCATAAAAGCCTGGTTCTTTCCTTGCCCTGAGGGCACAGTCACATTATTGAAAGGCTCTTTACTTGAAGGTTCAGAGAACACTAATAGTGTAACTTTCTGGCATTGTTGCATGAACCTTCCCTCAAGGGGCTGCTGTAATTCTGACCTTGGACGTCCCCCAAAGGCCCATCAGTGGAAGGTTTGATCCTCAGTCCATGGTGATATTGGAGGTGGTGAAGCCCTTAGGAAGTGGGAAGGAAGCTCCCAGAGGAGCTGTGTCTTTGAAAGTGATGACGGGACCCTTTTGTCTTCCTCTCTTCTTGCTTCCCAGTTGCTATGAGGCGAGCAGTTTTGCTATTGTGCACCAAAGTGTGCTTCCTCTCCATGCACCTCAGAGTAACTGACCAGTCAGCCATGTGCTAACACCTCCAGAACTGTGAAGTTTGAAGAAAGAAACTGGAGAAAGCCAAAAATACTAAAAGTAGAATTTAATGGGTAATTCTGGTTAGAGATCTGAAGTCAAAACTGTCGATGGGGGGCTGGAGAGAAGACTCAGCAATTAGGAGCACTGGCTGCTCTTCCAGAGGACCCAGGTTCAGTTCCCAGCACCCACATGGCAGATAACAACTGTCCATAACTCTAACTCCAAGATATCCAGTGCCCTCTTCTGGTGTTCATGGGCATTGCAGGATATGGGCACACTTAAATACATGTAGGCAAAACACACACAGAAAAATTATAAATAAATTATAAATAAATCATTTAAAAAAGAATGTTGATGTGTAGATAGAGGGCCTGTAAGATGACACAGAGGGTAAAGGCACTTGCTGCCAAGGATGAAGATCTGAGTTCAGTTTTTTTTTTTTATGCATATACACATATATACACATGTATACGCATGTACACACACACAAAATCAATCAATATATAAAAAAACAAATTAAAATTAGATTTTAATTTATAAAATTAAATTTAAAATATTTTAAAGAATGTTTATATACATGTGGAGTTAAAAGTGATAGTCATGGGGGCTGGAGAGGTGGCTCAGTGGTTAAGAGCACTGGCTGCTCTTGCAGAGGACCCAGGTTTGATTCCCAGCATCCATATGGTAACTAACAACCATCCACAACTCCAGTTCCAGGGGATCCAACACCCTCTTCTGACCTCCATTGGTATTGCATAGCCTGAGTGCACTTAACATACATGCAGGCAAAACACTCATACACACAAAATAAAGCAAAATATGTTTTAAAAAGGTGGTAGTCATAAGGTTTCAGATGAAAATGAGTACTCTTAGGAACTGGACTAAAAGTCATCATTTTTATACTGTGACAAAGGAATTTATTGCTTGATGTCCGTGGCCCGAGACTTTGTGGGAGAATGAGTGTCACGGTTACAGAATAGTTTATCTGGCAGAGGAAGTTTCACAGCAGCTCATTCTGGAAACAAATGGGAATTTCTGGCTGATTTTAGTCAAATATACTATGAAAACCAGGAGCAAAAAAAGGAACAGAGTACAAAAATGTGGAAAGCTTGCAATTTGGACAGAAAAGGCACTGCTGAAGCGGGTGGGGCCGCTAAGGAGACTGGGACCGTGAAAAAGATGCCAAATACTCTGCACCAGGATGATATGAAAGATGCCCTCAGTATCCCAGGAATGAGCAAGCTCCCACCCAGCACAGGCTCAAGGGTATAAAAGGGAGACTTTCCTTTGAGAAGAGAGCCCTGGGGCTCCCTACTGCAGAGAGCCACCTTAGGGACTTGTTTCCCCAGAACTCAGGGCTTGTTTCCTTGTGTGCAAACAGGAAGGCTGACAGCACCCACAGTTCTAGCAGTCACACGTAGTTCTAGCAGTCTTAAGTGCAGATCACAGTGGTGGTAGAGCTTGGGATCATCCATGTAATGTTGGTGTTGTAGACATGCAGCATGAGAGTTATGGGGTCATGAAGACAACCTTTGAGATTTTAAAGGACCAGTAGTGTGTGGTAGGATTGACGTCCCTCAGATCAGCCCCAACGGGCAATGCATGATGCTATGAGAGGGAAACAAGCTGCAATGGAAACTCAGGGAGTCTGAGGTGCCCTGCACTTGAAATGCCTGCTGAGGAAGCTGCAGGTAGTTGAGTGGAGCCCTCCCAAGAGAATGTCCATGTGTCCATGTGTTCTGCAGCCAGCAAGGCCGCAGCGGTGCAGCTGTCCAAGACCTGGGGGCGGGGGGATCCTGCCACCAGGTGTCGGACCTTGAGTTAATGGTTTAATGTTTGCGCTGATGCATTTTGGTCTTCCTTTGGCCCAGTTCCTTATTTTCCTACCCCTCCCATCTCAAACCAAGATCTTAACCCTAACCCTGTGACATTATGTCTTGGAAGTATGTAACTTGCTTTTTTATTTTTATCAGGTGCTTACAGTTAAGAGTTTTCTCTGGGTCTCAGAGGAGCCTTTGCACTCCTGAACACTTTGGGGATAGTTGAGGTTTGGGGGACTTTGGATGATGGGATGAATGCATTTTGCACTGTGAGATAGGCATGGGACCAGTGGTGGAATGTTATGTTTTGGATTTTAAATATTGCCCAAAGGCCTCTATGCTGAAGGCCTGGTTGCCAGCTTTTGGTATTATTGGGAGGTACTAGAAACTTCCACATGTGGAGGCCCAAGTGAAAGGAAGTTAGGTCACTGGGGTAGGCTTTTGAGTGGGATATTGGGACCCCAGTCTCTCCCTTTATTTCTCAACCTCCACAAGAGCTTTGCTTTACCTCTGTATTCGCCCCCTTCATGTTTGGCCTTGGGCACAAAAACAATGAACCTAAACAACCATAGTTTGAAGTACTTGGAACCATGATCCCCTAAAAACCTTTCTCCTTTTAAATGCCTGCTACCTCAAGCGCTTTGACACAGCAATGGAAAGCTGACTAATACACTATCTGAAGGTAGAACTCTGAGGCTGAATTGTCTGCTGAAAGAAGCCACCAGAGAGCCAGATTGTCTCTATTCAAGTCCAGATACCTTGCAGATGGGGGATATAAAATACTTTTGTTGTATGATGAAAGTTCTGCTAACTGACCTGAATGTTAGATATATTGTTTAATTTTATTATTTACACTGTCCTGAAGTATGATGCAGTTTTTATTTAGGAAATGTTCCATGAACTAAGTGGATAAATGTTTAGCACTGGGCTTTATTTATTGTGATCAAAATATGACTGATGCAGCTCCTGTTCTATCTGCAGACCAAGGAAAGGGACAAAGAGCAAAGGGTGAAGCCAGGAGGCAGACATGATCCACTCCAGTCTCCATTTGAAGACATCCTAGAAGCTTTTATTAGTCATTGTCCAGCATGGTGCTTGGCTACCCTTAACATTGAGAGTGAAAGAGACACTGTGTTTTCATTGAGTTCAATGTTACCACAGACAGACTTGGAGTTCTTTCAGGAAAAAGTAAGAAAATGACATAATGGAAATCAACTGGATAATTAACAGTTTCTGAAGGTTCAGTGTCTTTGTCAGCTCTGGTTATCCCAGCAGTTGCCACAGACCAGGTGGCTGAAACAAGAACAGTGTATTTTCTGACATCTCTTCAGTCTCAGAAATCATGGTCAGGATAAAATTCAGTTCACAATGAAGACTCTCTTCCTGGCTTGCAGAAGTCTTCTTCTTGTGGACCTGTCTTCTTTTTAGAAGGCCACAGTCTACTTGGATTAGGGCCTTACCCTTGTTATATCATTTCATCTTAATTTGTTTTTGAGGACTTATCTCCATATATTTTCACTAGCGGTTAAGCCTTCAACATAGGAATTTAGGAGTGTGGGGAGCTGTGGCTGCACAGTGGACAGAGCTTTAAACTCTTATTAAAATTCCTTCGGGGGCTGTGATATAAACAACATCCACCCCATCCTCCCTTGGTCCTAATGACAAACTGAGACACAATTCCGCCAGAGTGCATTCTGGGAAACCAAAGAGTTTATTGAGCTTACTTACAGAGCAATTGGTGAGGGATTATTTACAGAAACATGAGTTCTCCCCCATATGGACACACCTGGCAGTTTTCAACCAAGCTTGGATGATGGCTTCCCCATAGCCACATAAAAATATGTCCCTTCCCTCAGTTTTCCCCAGTCCATATACTCTAGAGTTTCTCCCAGACCATGTGCAGTTAGGGCCAAATTGCTCATCATGGGTTGGGAAGTGGAGCTGAATACTCAGGTGAGGGTCCTATGATTCTCCCTGTCCCTCTTATGCAGGGGTATCATGAGTCAACAAGACCAGCTGTGATAACCTTAGGACAACAGGCACAGCTAAGTCCAGGAAGATGGTGTCCGTCTGTCAGAGGATAGTCCTACACAGCATAAGCAGTATGACACAACTTCCACACTTCCCTCCTTCCACCCATCTAAAAGTCCCCCTTGGAAAGGAACTTTAGTGACCCTAGGAACTCACATTTTTTTAGTTAGTCTTTGAAAGACTACCATTTCTACCAGGAAAATCCATCTCATTGCCCATGTCTTCCATAAATCTGGGACAAGGCAAGGCATTGCTTCCTGGAGAAAAATTTTAAGAATGATTTAGAGACTCACTGAGGGCTTCCAATATCAAGCTCATCCAGCACCTAAATGCTTTCTCTGATTTCCTAAAGCACCCCACCCTGTCAGGGTCTGGTACAGCACTGGGATTTGGGTCTTTGCAAATTGACTTTTTCATGGCGCTTTAGGGAGTCAGTCTTAAGCTGTCCTTTTCTCAATCAGACACCCCTGATATCTTGAACATTTTCTCTCATTTTGTGGCATAGCATTCATGTGATGTGGAATATCATTCAGTAACCCAGACTTATGAGAGAGATGGAGCACCAAGCCATTTACTTCCCATAGAGCAAATATCCAAAGAACACTATTTCAGTGACTCCTTGTTTTGATTCTGTTTCATCCAGCATGGATTCTAGCCAGACCTTGTCCTCCATCTCTAGGCTTACAATGATGGTCCCCAAAGCATACTTGTAGCTGTCTGTGGCTTGGACTTTTTTCTCTCTCATCTGGATGCTATTTCTCATCAGCCTTATTTGCACAGAATTCTGGAACAACATGATGTCAAAGCCAAAACTGTACATACCAGGGTTGGTACATATGAACTCGCCAGTGGTCAGATTAAAGTGGCCCTGCCGATCGTATAGAGACTCCTTGAAGACAATGGGCTGATGTTGCTTTAGGAGAGCATCACTCATCTTCACAGCAAAGGCAGATTTGGGCGGAGCTAGGCATTTCATGATATCTCCCGGAGGCCCTGGGGATCCTGGAAATCCTGGAAGTCCTGGAGGCCCTGCACTCCAAGATATGCAGACAGAGAATGGGAGCAATCCGGAAGTCATGCACTTTATGATTAGCATATTTTTCTCTGCCTCATTCCCACGCCTCTTATTTACATTAAACTCATTCTTAAATGCTCACATCAAACACTTTCCAGGAAGCTCTTCGTCCATCATATATGTAGAAAAGTTTTTCTATGTTAGAGAAATAATGGCATTTTGTGCTTAATTTGGTCATAGCAGTATACCAGCGGGGACACACTGAATTGTACTCTCTCCTCGCTCCTTTGTCCTTGACTATATTTGTACCTTATTGAAGTGTCTTAATGAAGTAACACACAGAATATTTTCTAAGTGAATGAGTACACAAATTCTTGTGTTTTGTGTGCATGTGCATATATCAAACCACAAAAACACAGCACTTATGTAGAGGTCAAAGGACAGCTTGCAGGAGTCCACCATGTGGGTCCCAGAGACTGAACTCAGGTCATCAAGTTTGATGCACGTGCCCTTTACCCAATAAGTCATCTTGCTGATCTGAAAATTGTTTTATCTAATTTATCTCACAAGTAGAATCACATGTTTTTACTATAAACCTATAATGAAAAATAATTTCCATAGTAATTGATGCAGAAAAGTCCAAAAGTCATATTATACCATAACTAACAATCCAGAGGTCAATGAAAATCACCAGTGGATCTCAACAGTCCGGTGATAACTTTCTCATCCCTCTATGTCTGAATTCCTGGATGACAAGGCTCAGGATCTTCCTGGTTAGTGACAGGCATGGGTTTACCAGATGGGAACCACTGTCTTAAGGAACAGCCTGTCTGTCACTTAGTCATGTGGCCAAGTAAATGCTCAGAGTCAAATGGAAATCTGATTCTCAGCCTACTGGTACCCTTCCATGTAAGGGAAGGACGATTTATCTTAAATTCACAGTTTAAGGGGAAACAGTCCCAAACAGCAGGGAAGACATGGTGGCCGGGGCCATGTTGGTCTGGGCCAGAGGTAGCTTACTGGCCTGGCTTCACATCTCCACAGATCAGGAAGTAGAAAACTCAGCCAGAATCAGGCTGTGTTCTAGCCCTCTAGCCTCATACCATGGCCCTACTCTGCCAGCTAGCCCCATGTCTATAAGGGTCCACAAATTCCCAAACCAGCACCACAGCTGGACACCAAGGTTTCAAACTCTTGAGCCTATGGGGAGACATTTCACATTCAAACCATAAAAATGATCACAAAGCGAAGGAATGACCAATAAAAGAAGAAGTAAACATTCTCACCTTTCATTCCTGTGGGTCCTGGGGGTCCTGGAAGTCCTGGAAGTCCTGGGTGTCCTTGTGGGCCTGGGGGTCCTGGAGGGCCTTTAGGTTTACAGGGTCTAGTCTTCAAATCAGCTAGGGTTGATGTGATGGACACAACAAAAATCCAGGAACCCAGACCTGAGAATCAATAGGAAAACTTTACATGTTGGAGGGAGGTATTCCTTTTGAGGAAGTATGCTCCTGACATCCTCAAAGGGGCACACCTCATGATCCCATGTAAATATTAATTAGCCATTTACATCTGTGTGGGTCTGGGTCAGAGATGGTTAGGAAAGTTCCACAGGCATTATTGTCCTTGAGTCCTTTCCATGTGATTTCTAGTGGTGTACAGCCAAGGCAAAGGAGACATACTCATCTTTCCTAATGGGATCTAACACGTAGTCCTAGTAGAAGTGATGGTGTTTGTAAATCCTATGCATGTTTCCATATATAGCTGCTGTCCCTTTAACTTTGGTGCAGCAATGACTGAGCTTAGAGTACAGCTTCTTCAGAAGAAGGAGGAGGAGGAGGAGGAGGAGGAGAAGGAGGAGGAGGAGGAAGAGGAGGAGGAAGGTTCCAGGCCTACCTTCAGATTGGTGTATATCATATGTGGAGACAGGACTTTTCTACAGACTTCTGTATCTTCCATACAAGAAACACTTGAGCTACTACTAAATCTATGTATTTCCATATATTATATCATATTAAAAATACTTTAAGTGTTTAGAAGCTGAGGGCTGGAGAAGTAACTTAGTGGTGGAGCACCATGCTTGCAAATGTAGAACGTATGAAGTCAGGAGGGCTCAATATTGCCACCTCCGTGGTAAGAAAGAGAACAGGAATGCTCCTGAAACTTAGGTGACTTTTGCTTTTATTTAATTATGAATTTCCATCTCTCCTGAATGAAAATTACTATGGAACACTATACATTCAGTCTAAAATATAGTTCATACCTCCTCTGAACAACCACACACACATACATACCTACTAACCACTCAAATCAATTGAAAATACTGACATAAAAATAATTTAATACAAGTTGCCTGATAATAGCAAAGATTGAATTTCATAGTCTCTTCTTGAATATTATAGCATTCTCCTTAGACTATATTGAAATGATATCACAACTAACCAGAATGTGAACCCACTATTGAATTTATATCATGATGATGAGAGAAATTTCAGTAACTTTTACTCAGTGTTCCTATAGGAAATATTTAGAATGAATTTCTTCCTGCATTGTATTATAAAGTAGAAATGGGGAAAATGGGAACACTTTAACTGGGGAAGTCATGGTGGAAGGGTTAGACAAAGAGGTAGAGAGAGGAGACTTAAATAATGCCTAGCTAGTGTAAAAAACCAGAGAGAATCCTGTTAGTCCAACAACCTAATGACAAAATACACATATAACATCTCTACATGAGTTCATGTGTATAGCTAAACGCTACATAACAAGAAATAGTGCCAGACAGGAGAAACCTTCCTTTGAGTTGCTGGCCAGGGAGGTCCAAGAGACTCCCAAAATTACACAGGCTATTGCCACAGCCCCTGATGGCCCCTCGGAACTTGGAGGTAAGACCCTACTGCTGAAGATAGAACATACTTTGAAAACAAGATTTGGAGCAATGGAGCTAGAACTGATCTGGAAGCCATTTCCCCAGAAGGCTAGCTCTCATAGCTTTGGAGAGCATTATACAGGTGCTAATGGAGAACATCAAGCGATGGTCCAACACCAGCTTCAAGAGCAAATAACCACAACAATGACCAGCATAGCATAAGACATTGGTGTAATAGTGGCACTTTTATCATGGGGGCAATCAAAGGTTACCTAACTGGACCGAAAGCCCACTCAATGGGAGGAAACTCATGTGTGGTACTATAAACATAGGCAAATACACATAGCTGGAGAGGTCAAAGATCTTAGAGAAAACTCCAAGACTGTCACATCCCTAGACTAATGTAATTTCCCACTGTGTAAAATATGTGTCCTTGTATTTACAGATACATATCCCAGTCATCACTCATCAAAGAAGCTTCTTTTGCACCAAAGATTATTACAGAGTACCACAACTGGTCTCACACAGACATTGCCCAAGCCTAAGTGACACATCTACATGCAACCTCTACACCTAAGGCTCACAGAACATAGAACAAGGGGTAAAGAGGACACTAATGAATAGCTCAATTCTCATTAGTAAAGCTCCCTCATGCAGTAGAGGGCCAGGAAAACAAAAGATCACAAATGACCAAAGTACAGAGATTAAGATTCTGCAGAACGCTGGTCTTGGACAAGACTCCTATATTGAACTTACCTACCCAGGACTCAGGGACCATTGCAAGAGGGGAAGGGAAGATTGTAAGAACCAGAGAGGAGGTGCATGACTAAATAGAAATAGAGTCCTACAAGCTCACGGGACCCTGCTCATATGAACCCACAGCAATGGTATCAGCATGCACAAGACCCATGCAAACTCAAGCAGACAAAAACCCAGCATAGAACTGGGGACATGGACAGCAGACTCCAATGTCAGCTGAAGAAATACTGGCAGCTGATTACCACCGGGTGAGGAAGAGCTGATCTTCTTAAAGCGAGGGACTCTAGATGGCTGAGTTGACCTCAATAAATGAACTTGCACTGAGGAACATCTGGGGACACTAACTTGATACAATGGGCCTTAAGACAAATGATAGAATGTATGAATTCCAGTTGGGGGGGGCGCTATGGGAGAGCACCAGTGGGGGAGGGGGTAAAAAGATGATTAAGATTGAGATGTTCTGTATGAAATACACAAAACTTCAATTTAAAATATTAGTAATTCCTAAAGAAAATAATCTTGCCATTTAGACAATATCGATTACACAAGGGGTCATGTCTTCTATTTTATTTTGCCCCTCCAGGAATCTCAGATTCAAATTTACAGCTAAAGGTTTAAAACTTAGTAATAGCACATAAAAGTTCACAATCACTTGACCATTTGCCATGGTGTTGGCTTTTGTCTTTTGCCTCTTCCTGATTGTTGTTAACTTGACTTCGTTTTCCTACTTCATTCTATAAATGCATGTAAAGATACTTTGAATATTCTATGATCTGAGATAAGGAGAAAGAAGATTAATGGGGAGATGAAGATAGTGGGTGGAGAGATGAAACATATGCAGTGACTTTGGTTTTTAAATTTCATGTCACAAACATCATGAATAATAAAATGTAGTGCCTTATAGTCAGTAAAATGGTGAGTGTAGTAAAGAGGAGACTAGGCAGGAGGTAGAGGGGAAATTAGTGCAGGACAAAGAGAAAGAAATGAGTTAAAGGCAAAACAAACAAACCATCTATCCCAGAATGAGGCAGAGAAACCCTCATCCAGAATCAGTAACAGGTGGAGACTGGAAAAAGCCTTGGGCACTAGGATGTGCTTATATTTTGAATATTAAAGCCGAATACACCATACGGCCCCACACCTCACGAGCAGGGTGTTTCACTGGCCTTTGTGCCATAATTCCATTGTGCTAATTTTGTATAGCTGAGAGTTAGGTAAAGAGCGAATTCCATTCCTATCTACTCTCATCAGTGGTAAGGCAAAAGTAAAATTTGTGTCTTTGAGAAAGGTATGGGAAGAGAGTTTCTTATATTAGATACAATGGTATTTTACATGAAAAGAAAAAAAGTGATGGGTAATGAGGGAGGCTCAATTCATCACAATAATTAGGAGTAGGTGTACTTACCAACAGCTCCCATGGAAAGAGCTCTTCCTCTTTGCCCAAACATCTTGATATTGTGGGGGAACCCTGAAATCTGTTCTCAGCTCTCCTTGTTTTGTGCTACTTGATTGAATTTTGAAGCTTGAGGTTGCATGATTATTGAACCGATTTCTCTAAGTACTTGGTCTCCTGATCTTTGCTGAGCTGGTTGGATTTTGGATTTTAACTAGAGAAAAGTTGCAGCAATTGAGTTGACCTTCTTCACGAAGCATTGTGACCCACACATTTTTGACAGAGTTACCAGGTCAAGGCTTAGCCTCTACATGGACTTTGGCTCTTATGTGGTCACTTTCCCAACTCACCCTGTGGCACTCCCTCCCTACATTCCAGTGATAACAAAACATCGGCTTTGACTAGAATCAGAAGGAAACTGACTCAAGTTGATTTTTTAGAAATCTGGGCTGGATAGATGGATCAGTGGTTAAGAGCATTAGCTGCTCTTGCAGAGGACCCAGGTTCGGTTCCCAGTACCCACATGGTGATATCAGTAACTCCAGTTCCAGGGAATCCAGTACCCTCTTCTGGCCTCCATGGGCATTGCATGACATGTGCACCTACACACATACACATAAATGCAAAATATTCATACACATAAAGTAAAATTTTAAAATGTAAATAAAATGTAAAAAAAATGAAAAGGTTCTGGGTGGTAAAAATACTGCAGCTAATTTTACTTTCACTGGTGAAAACTGAAGCTTTTCACTAAGATGAGGAGCCAGGGAAGAAAGAACGGCTTCTTTCATGGCTCCTAATCCACATTGCACTAGAAATCCTACCTTCAATAATGTAAGGAAAGGAAGTTTAATAAAGAAAAATTGGGAAGTAAGAAATAAAACTGTCTTTGATCATAGGTGCTATGGTAGTCTATTTAGAAAATTCACTCCCCAACTTAAAAAAATACCTACAAAATTCCTGAAACCAACAAACAAAGACAGGGAAATTATATATGGTCAACATACAAAGCTATAACTTCCCTTTCTGCAAGCAATTTTCAAGTTTCTGCAAATTTGAGTTCATTTTTAATATATTTGCATTTAACATTGCACCAAAAATGAGACACATTTTTCCTAAATCTAATAGAAGGCATATATAAAGAAAATGATATAATGAAATCACAATGACTAAAAATCAGAGATGGCTCAGTGGTTAAGAGCACTGACTGCTCTTGCAGAGGACCCAGGTTTGATTCCCAGCACCCACATGACAGCTACATTCCAGTTCCAGCAGAATCTGAAGCCCTCTTCCAACCTCCGTGGCATTGCATGACACAGGTACACTCACATACATGCAGGCAATGCACTCATACACATAAAATAAAAATAAATGAATAAATATCAAAGAAGACATTGATGAATGGAGATATAGTCCATGTTGATAGTTACAATATTACACGCTATAAATATAACTCTTGCCTACTTAATATATAAATTAAATGCAATCCCAATCAAAATTTCAGCATCTAATTTCTGCTCTAAAATTTATATGGGAAGGGACAAGACTCATGATGGTCAGCACAATATGGAAGAATAAAGTTGGAGGATGTCAATTGCCCAGCTTTAAGATTTGCTATAAATTTACAGTAGATAATATGGAATAGTATTGAAAAGATGGAAAAATACATAAATGGAACAGAATAGAGAGCCTCTGACAAAGAGTCAGCTTAACAAATTATACTAGAATACTTAGAAGTTGTATGTAGAAATAAACCTAGACAAATACATCACACCTTCATAAAAATACCTCAAAATGCAAACTTAGAAAATTCTGGGTGATACTATCAGATTTAAGGAAAGTGGTTTTGACTGGGGGTAAATTGTAAGATATAATAACATAACTCTTGAAAGAAAAAATAACAAGTTGGACTTTATTTAAAAAAACAAAAAAAGAACAAAAAAACCTGGCCAAGTGTGATGGTACACACTTTTATCTTAGCACTGGGGAGGTGGAGGCCAGCGGATCTCTGTGAATTCCTGGCCAGTCTACATAGTGAGTTCCAGGCCAGCTGGGGCTCTAGAGAAACCCTGTCTCAAAAAGATAAATAAATAAATAAATAAATAAATAAATAATATCTGCACAAAAAATCAAGGTTAAGAAGAGCAAAAGGCCAACCTGAGTGCAAATATTTGCACAAGCACCTGTCTGACAAAATAGTCAAAGAAATAAAAGCTCAACCATAAGTAAACAAGAAAAGCCCTCAAAACATGGACAAGGGACTGGATAAATGGCTCCATGGTCAAGAGCACTTGCTGCTCTTGTAGAGGACCTGGGTTTGGTTCCCAGCACCCACATGGCAGCTACGACCATCATAAATCCAGTTCCAGGGAATCTGATGTCCTCTTTGGGCCTCTGTGGGCATTGCATGACATGGGTGTGCTTGCATACATGCAGACAAAACATTCATGTACATAAAATTAAAAAAATCAGAAAAATTAAAAAGAAAAAATTAGCAAAATAACAAAACAGAATCCTCACCAAAGAAAGTATAATGATGACAAATATCCCTACAGAAGTGTTCCAAATCATTTGTTTAAAGCAATTACAATTTGAAATACTAATGAGTACATGATAGTGGTTAAAAATCCAAAAACTGGAGTCTACTTCCTGTCAAGCCTGCAGAGCAAAAACAATACTTATTCACTGCTGATGGGAATGCAAACTGAGGCACCTGCTGGAGAGACTCTGACTACTTTGTTACCAAGCTAAATATAGTTTCACTGTGCAACCCAACAATTATGTTCCTAGGCATTTATTCAACTAATTTGAACTTTGGATAAATGGAAGGAAATCAATGAAGCTGATAAATAAATGAAAACCCAAGTATTTATTCTGCCTGTCACATGTGAAGTTTACCCCTGCATAGTAAAATATCATATGAGACATAGAATCTCTTTATCAAACTACTCCAACGAGGCCAGGCGTGGTGGCACATGCCTTTATTGCCAGCACTCAGGAGGCAGAGGCAGGCAGATGTCTGTGAGATCAAGGTCAGCCTGGTCCACGTAGCGAGTTTTGGCGGCTACAGAGTCTCAAACAAACAAATGAATTCCAACTAATTATTGAAAAAGAAATTACGGAATGTATTAACATTATTTTGAAATGGTTACAAATTAATGTATGTAGACCCAATAACATCACAAAAGGACATAATGTAATGCTGATAAAAGAGGTTGGTCTGGGTCTGATCAAGCCTCTGGAGTCATCTGTTAATGTATAGGTAAAGTGCAGAGAACAGGGAATATTTTGGTTGTTAGCCTTAGCCTTTAATGGCTGAGCTATCTCTCCTGGGGGACTATTTTGAATGGAAAAATAGAACTATAATCAATAAGAGCTAGCTAGTATTTTAGATAACAATAGTCATATTAATATTTTTGTCATAGTGAAATGAGGATTTAAATAGATGCTGCATAAGTGATAATACTAGGAAGACATCTTTTCTACGGGCTATTCATGTATTAACAGTAATTCACATAAATCACATATTTGCCTTCAAATAATTGCAGCAATTATTTCACAGTGACAAGTTATCACAGTGACCAGATAAAAAAAATTATTTGATATGCAAAGATTTATTATCCAGGGAAATGGTTTCACTGATCCTTGATAGGTAAAAAGTTGGCAGAGAACGAGTGAATGGATGATGAGGCACAGCTGAAACTCCATCAAAATAGGGTTTATTAGCAAAGGAACACATAGGACAGATTCCCTTCTGGGCAGGGAAAATGTCTGCTGGGGTCTTGAGCTGGGGTCTTTTTAAAAGGGAGGCTTCTGCTTTCTGCAGAAAGCAGGAAGATGTATTTTTTTAAAGTTGGGTGGTGGGGGGAGTGGGAGAGCGGGACTGTTAAAACCTGTCCTCCTCTTTAAAGATCGAAGGGGAAGCCTGCTGTGTTGGCCAAACAATGGAGAAAAGTCTGCTTCTCTTGATTTCAAAGACCAAGGTGCTTATCAGCTAGGTTCCCTTTTCTCAGGAGCATGAGAAGTCCTTGGGATCCTGTTGGTGAGGGGGCAGGGCTATCTGAACCTTAACAAGTGGC